AGCATCTTTTTTTCCTTTGCCCCGGAAAGCATTTCACCTTGAAATTTTTCCTTTTCCTCTGCCTGTCCCCTCCACAGGGGAGCCTTGCCTGTCTTCCTCGTCTTCCACGCGCTGGTGCTAAGGCAGCACTCCACGTCTCCTGTGAGAACTCGCTTCTTTCCAATCTCTGCATGATAAGATACAGCTCAGTTTTACGACTCCGCTGATGTCTTTCCTGGTATCCGAGTGTTTTTCTTTGAGTGCTGTGTTTTAACGGCTTTCCCTTCCTCACACAGGTAACTGTAGGACTTCCTTGGATATTTTTTCCCTTCGTACGCAGTTTGTTGTTTCCTCTTCTTCCTTTTCGCGTGTCCTCGTTGATAACATTTAGTTCCTGTGCTTTCTGATAGCATTTTGCACCATTTCCTGGAAACTTTGCCTCCCCTCCAATGCTGCTTTTGCCATGGGATGGTTCCTGGTCCGTGTTTCTTGCACGGTCGATGGTCTGCCTACCTCAGGAGGTTCTGCCATCCCAGTGCCTTTGCTCAAGTAGTTTGTCAGTGATCCTGGTGTAAGAACATCCATTTCAAGGTGTAGCTGTACTTTCAGCTGCTTCTTCGGGTAAAATAACGTTAACAGCACAAAGCAGCTGGCTCGTTGGCTCGTTTTGGCCCCAAACTCAGGTAGCTCAGCTAGCAGATCAATGGAAGCAGCACCAAGCGGTAGGGAGCAAGAAACCTCAGGGGGCACACGTGCAGCTAGAAGAGGAGGACTGTAAATTTTGGCCTAATTTTTTTTTTCTTGTTGCCTTTGGTTATACTCAGTTATATTTCATTTAGTCTTTGCTCCTCGTTGCTGGAAAATACTAAATCTTTCCAGAAGGAGAAAGTGGCCATGGCTGCTTCTTGGGTGGGCCTTCAGCTCCCTGGGGTCTTTATTTAGAGGAGTGATTAAAAGGATGTCGGTCGGCTCCTGCGATGTTCTTCGAAGGTGCAGTCAGGAGGGTTTTCTTTTGAAAGCAGCTGCTTTACAGATCCTTTGTTACCAAGGAAAAGGACCTAGAGCTGATGTTTATTCTGACTCTGTGGTTACAGCAGAAAACTGGCTTGGGGGATTGGTGTCACTGTCACATAAACCAAGATGCTTATGGCTTTCTTCACAGTCCCCCACCATGAGGGGAGGACCTGGGGTATCTGCATCAGATCCTCGGGCAGGAGCTGGTGCCTGTTCAGGAGTCTGCTGTTCCAGGTAAGCCTGTGTTAGGTGTTTTGCTAGGTGTTGAAAGCAAGACAGGGCTACCCCCTTGCTGCTTCTGAACGGTCTTGTTTCTCTTAGTGAGCCAGAATGTTTATAGATGGAGACCAGTAATTTTAAATGACAGATTTAATTAAGCAACAAAGTTGTTTTTCTTACCAGGCTGTGGGTTTTCATTGGCACTTGTATGGTAAACACTTGGCATCCTCCAAGGAAGGGTGTCTGACAGTCACTCGAGGCAGAGCTGGGGAGCCAGAGCCGGCGGTTCTCAGCCGTGCCCGCTGCCCGGTGTGCTCCCCTGGCGACCCAGCCTCATCCCCGATGAAAGAAAAGCATTTCAGCTCCTCTCGCGCTTTGAGAGCCAGACCAGACTTCTCCGAGCTGACTGCCTCTGTACCTGTCCTTCAGGCGATGGACGTAGGCATCGGCGCTCTGCCTGGTGCGAGGGGAATTAGCCATCGCACGCACACGTGCCTGCTGAATCGTGCAGAGCGGCGTCTCCTCACCTGCGGTCCCTGTTAACAAGGTCTGATCACCCTGCCCGCTTTCATGGTGTGTTTTAGGCAGTTTCACTTCGCTTTAGGAAGCAGAAATGCCTGAAAGTACCTGATGTCTGCTGAGAATTCAGCTGCGAGTCTCCTCCTTGCTCTGGTAGATAACGCACGTGCTGTACCACGGGGCATAAACATAGACCGCGGGCGCGATGGCGGCGAGTGGCTGCGGGAGCTGGCAGAGTGTGCGTCGCTGCAGGCTGCTTGGGGCCTTTCACACCTTGGCTGCTGCCAAAGTGCAAACTGGGCTCCTACGGCAG